GGATGGATGGATGGATGGATGGATGGATGGATGGATGGATGGATGGATGAATCAAAGATGAAAGGAGGGCTCACTGAGCATTTCATCTCTGAAACCTTCTTCTATGTTTTTTGACAGCGTTTAACTTTGGCTTTGACGCAGCAACAGCTCACGCCGAGCTAAAGATTCAGGGTGACACGGTCACATGGGAGCCCAAGGGGGTCAAAGGTCACGACGCACGGCTCAGGGGCAAGGAGAATAAAAACAGGTGAGGAATGGTGACTCCCCATGTGAAAATCTAACTCCGCCCCTAAACAAATATCCATGTCACCAAAGTGGACCGTGGAAGACGAGCCTTACGGGCGAGGCAAAGCAATGGAATGTAGGTGGGGGTTCAGGGGGTGTGGCCAGGACAAGAGAAAGCATTAGCTTAGCCTAGCCTATTTTAACTGTTGGAGTATGTAGAGTCAGCAGAAGGACAGTGGTAGTTGCACCATATATTGATCTTTTGAGATGGAGGTTTTTTCATCCCCAACATTAGAAGTTGCTGAATGCTTTGTGGAGCTTAGTGGGACACAAGTTCATCAGCAGCTTCAGGAGGTTCCTTCCTGGACCTCTTCAGTGGCGACAAACTGCTCCTCCCAAAGCAAACTACTGATGATTTTACTGAGTCTCCAGTTTTAAAGAGCCTCCCAGATACCAGCAGAAGTCCTTCTCTTTGGCTCCTCCCACAGCCAGGATCAGACTCTCCGACCTCAAAGCTGCAGTCCAACATTTAGAGGTCCAAACCGTCGGTTCTGGTCCTGCCTGAGCTCAAACATGCCAGAATCTTCCTGGTGAATGTTCTTTTCTTTTACGGCTTGGTTAACAGCTGGGTGCTGAGGTTGTGATAGCGCCACCTCAGGCCATCCGCCTGCTCTGATTTCACTTGTTTCTCTGCTGTTTCTGTCTTTGCGTCCTCTAACTTTTTTGTCCCTCTTCAGTCTCCGTACAGCCTTCTCTTCAGTCCCTCCAGGTAGACACTGTTATCATCCACTTGTTACCTAGCAACTACCAATCACTCACTTCATCCACCATCTCCTTCATGCAGCTGTTCACATCACTGCTGACATCACCGCTGACATCACCGCCGTGACATGTTACAGATTATTTGGTAGAAATGGTTTTGTGGGACAGAAGCTGGCTGTTTTATTCACAGTAACGTTCATTTTCTCATAACTCAAAAACATTTTTATTTGAATCGATTAACCGTTGGTTTTTGTTCTTCTCATCTTCCTGCCGCATCATCGCTTCGGCTCAACCTCATTGGCTGTTGTTTCCTCTATCAGTTATCAGGTTGTTTGTAAATGTCGGTTTTGTTCTGGTCAGCAGCAGGAGCGCCACTCCGTCTCCCAGTAAGACGGCAGGCGGTCGAGCCGGACGCGAGCGATTCGCCGGAGAGTCCTACACCGTTCTGGGTACGGCCATGAGTATTTTTAGGGCAGACCGGAGAGCCTGAAGCTGACGGGTAGATTCTGCTTCGTGCTCAAACTTGTCCGTATGTTTCTACATCATTTCTGTTTCCTAGGTGACCAGGAGATAACTGGAGGCTGCCATTACTGGGAGCTCCGTCCCCGAGCTGACTGGAAGTCACTTAGTGTGGGCGTGGCCTACAGGGGGGGCTTAGGACGATTCGACCAATTAGGAAAGAGCTCCAGTTCATGGTGTCTCTACGCCAGCCAATGGCTGCAGACCTCACTCGCTGCCAAACACAACAACAGAGCGAAGGCGTTGGATTGGCCGCTGCCGCAGCGAATCGGAGTCTACTGCGATTACGACAACGGTTTGATCATCTCCTTACTGATCGCTTCTGATTACATTCATGGACTGACACTGATAGCTAGTTTCTGGACCGGCTGGGTCTCCATGGCAACAGATAAATGGTCACATGACAGATTTACCTTCAGAGCATATTCAGAATGATGGTTTCAGTTTCATCAGGATCAAAGCTGATGATGTCATCATCTGATGTTTTAGGAGAGTTGATGTTTGTCGACGTCGATCAGCTTCGTCTTCTTCACGTCTTCAAGTCCAGGTTTAGCCAACCGCTCATCCCTGCCTTCACCGTGAGTACTACACCACTACTACAGCAGTACTACACCACTACTACAGCATGAAGCTAAAACAGACTTAATAAAAAAAGATTTCCTGAGGGATAATGCAGCTTTTGCATATGTTCT